TTTGCTTGGATTTCGATTTCTAGTGATGTTGAAAATATTTCCATACTTTCATTTTTATTCTCAATGATTTTTCTTGTGTCACCTTTTAAAAAGATCTTCCCTATTAAAATATTCACTTAACGATATTTTTTCTAGTATTTGCAAGTTTCCCATCTCTCCTTCTTATTTCCTTCCTTCTTTTTTTTCCTTTCCTCCCTCCCTTCCTTCTTTCTTTCATTCCAAAAGTCTAATGCTTTTAGGATCCACTTTGATGTATAACTTTTTAAAAATCTTATAGTTAGCCAGTTATTCCAATACCTGTTATTTAATAATTCATCTAACCACTGATTAAAAACCATTTTATCATATGCTAAATTTATTGTCTTTTTCTAGACATCATATATGATCCCTTCAGAACCTATAAATTCTCTTTATTATACCATAAACATTGTATTTATTCTTCCAGGTGGAGATCAAAATTATTTTGCAAAGTTTTCAACAAATCTCATTGGGATTTTGATTGGGATTAAGTTGGAGGAAAGATATGTTTCAATATTGAGTCTTCCCATTTATTCAAGGACATGATATAGTTCCACATTGCTTCTCAAGTTTCATAAAATTTCAAGTCCTGCCTAATAGCTGTAACTGATTAACACATTCTGAAATATACATGCCCTTTTATAGCAAATTCGAAACTAAATTAATATGTGAATACCTTTATTGGCACTTGGTAGTTGCTATGGCCTGAATGTTTGTGTCCCCTTCAAAATTCATGTTGAAGCCCTAACTGCACCCCCACCCCCAGTGTGATGAGATCAGTGCTCTTATCAGAAGAGATGCCAGAGAGCTTGGTCTCTCTCTCTCTGTGTGTCCTGGCACAAAGAGAACCCTCACCATAAATTGACCATGCTCGCACCCTCATCTCAGACATCCAGCCTCCAGAACTATGAGAAAATTAATTTCTGTTGTTTCAGCCACCCAGCCTACGGTGTTTTGTTTTGTTATGGCAGGCCAAGCAGACTACTACAGTAAGTATTTATATTACTTAATCTCCCCCTTCCCATCCCCACTCTGGGTTACCCTTGGCTTCACAGCCAAAGGAAATAGTACAATTGAATGAACTAATGTGGTGACAGAAAGGGCTACTTTGTGATGAGTACTTATTGAATTGCTTTGCACAATGAAGATTTCTAAGTCGCCTTATTCTCCTATTCCAAATGAAAATAAAATTTTAGTTCTACAGATAAATTGCACATTTCTATAAATGCTGGCTTCCCTATTTTATTGCACAGAAGAATGCCAATAAGAAGATTGGCCATTGATATTTAGGGACCACGTTAATGTTTGGGCATATCTGGAAGTAGTACTGAAACCACCTTTCTAGTCATTCTTTATAGCTGGGGAACATTTTACAGTTTGCTAAATGTATCCATGTACAAAATTTTCTTTCCTCAGAAGAAATTCAAATGAAGTGTCAGTCTCATTTTATGGATGGAGCAAACAGTTCAGAGAAATAAAACGCCTCTCGCGAGGTAGCATAAAACTAGGGCTAACTCTAATTCATTCCATCGAGTGAGATTATTTTCTGAGAAGTTATTGTGTGCACACTATATCCTCTAATCTAGGCCCTTATCTCCTGCGGTGGTAGGATCTCAGCAACTGGTGTAGCTTTTTGGCTGTGTTATGCTGCACGTCCTTAGTTCAGGTAGTTCTTGGTGCCCCCAGCCCGAAAGATCCAGCCCACCGCTGACTGAACCTGCAGCAGATGTGCGGTGCTCTCTCCTAAGGGGCAAATCTCTCTCCACCACTCTCCCCTGAGCCCTTACTGGGCCAGTCATTGAAAAGGGCTTCTCTTGACATCTGAGGTGTTTGCTTGGGAAGCTCTCCTTCAACTCTTCCCTCACCCAGTTTCCTTCCTCTCCCAGTTATTCTGCTTTGTATACAGTAAAAGGGATGCTTGACATTTGACTTTAGGTCCGAATGAGAAGCCAGGCAGGCAACATGAAACCCACAGGCCTTGATTTACTCATTGTCCTACTTTATCCTGAACCAACCTTTCACTAGCAGTTCAGTAGCCACTGGTAGTGAAACAATGTCCCAATTCAAGATCTGTTGCTTGATGAAGTAGAAAGAAGCAAAAATATTGTTGAAACAGTGGGAATTAACAAGGCAAGAAACAATGAAATAATCCCACGTTTAATTGCAAAACAGGTGAATTGTTAGTCAAGTTGTTTTTTGAAAAGACAAGTGGCATTTAGTTCCAACTTGCATTGATTGTATAGAGAAGATAAATCAGGAGCAAGGTATGCAGAGCAATTGTCTATGTCCTAGGAAAACTGAACATTTAAAAATTTTTTGTTCTGAAAATTATTTAAATCTACATATTTTGTAAATTTAACAGAAGAGTACACAACATTAACAACTTACAGTTCATCTCTGAACTTAAATCTGCAGGCACTTTTGTCTTATTTTTTATATAGTAGTCTTGTCTTATTTGATCATCTTTGGATTTATAATGCCCCAGAATTAAAAAAAAAAAAAAGGAATCATATCATATAGAGAAAAAAGGAGTAGATGCTTTTAGCACTTTAGACATATTAAAGTTGTTTTAAATACTTTTAATAGAACTCCACTGGAACCTGTGTGTCCGAATGGTAGAATGATATAGAATTACCAATCAGGTTTCCCAGTATTCTGTTAGTATTAGTGTTCTCAGAAGAGATCTTGTCAATAGAGCTATCAGGGCAGATTCAGCATGTTCTCTGAAATACTTCGCCTTCAGGCACTTAAACTCAAGGGGAAAGTAACAGAATTTTCTTTTATAGTATAGAAAAGAAGCATAAAGGTATATAGTTAGAATAACACAGGACTAGGTAACAGGAAATTACTGCATTTTTGTTTTGGTTCTGAGATTTTAAACAAATAATTTAGTATTTCCAGGTTTTAATTTGCTCATCTGTATAAATAAAGATAGTAATTCTTATGTCGACCTGGCCAATTTTGCTCAGTGGTTAGAGCGGTGGCCCTCGGAACTGTTTGATTCCGGTCAAGGGCATGTACCTTAGTTTCGGTTTGTCCCTAGCCCTGGTCAGGTGGTGCGGGAGGCAACTAATCAATGTGTCTCTATCACACTGATGTTTCTCTCTGTCTCTCTTTTTGCCTCCCTCCCACTCTATCTAATGATAAATAGAAAAATATCCTTTGGTGAGGAATAAAAAATAATAATAACAGCCCTAGCTGGTTTGGCTCAGCGGCTAAAGTATCAGCCGGCAGACCAAAGAGTCCTGGGTTCAGTTCCTGCTAAGGGCACACACCTTGCTTGCAGTTTGTCCCCAGCCCCAGTTGGAGTTGTGTGGGTGGCAACCACTCGATGTGTCTCTCTCACATTGATGTTTCTTTCTCCCTCTTCCTCCTTCTCTCCCTCCCACTCTATCTGAAGACAAATACAAAATAATATTAAATATAATAATTCTTATGTCATAGAATATATTGAATGATTAAAATAAAAATATTTGATATCAAAATGTTATGAAGTGGAAAAAGAAAGGAAAATATTGTTGAGAACTCAATATATGCCAGGTACTATAGCTAGAGCTGGGGCTCTGAAGAGCTACTTCAGGTCCATGATTCTACCACACTAACATTTTAAATTAAATCATTAATATAAATGCTTTTAATGAATTTAAATAATCCATATTTCACTCTTAAAGAAACTTTCTTAATTTTAATACACTTTTAAGGCTTGCTATTACAAAATCTCAAAAGCAAAGTAAATCAACAGTGGAAAATAAAAATACTTTCTATAAATATTTCCTTTCAAAATGTGCCTTTTGTTGGCACACTAATAATAATTCATAATAAAAAGAATCTGGATAATGTTTGATATTTTTTAAAAATATTTTTCAGAGGGGACCCTAAATTAGCTATTATGAGTTAAATAAGCAACAATTCAAAATTGAACAATAGAAAAGTCTGACACGTTATATTTCTACTGTTTTAAAGACTATTTTATGGATAAAGAGTAAACAATTTGATACAATATTTTAAAACATTCTACAGACAAAACTTCCTCAAACAGAAATTTAATCCAAAATATTACCAAGGTGGGGGATTAAATACATTAGAATATGCTAAAGGACATTCAGTTTTTCCTAAAAATAAAATTCAGTAATATCAAGAAAATAATTAAATATTATAGATTATAAGCTTCAGCTGTTAAAATGAGAAAACTAAGAACCACATAAGATATTTTCTTTTCTAGTAACAGCATATGTAATCTTCATATTTACTTCTAAGAGTAGTCTTATTAAAGTATAAATATCATAAGAGTTTAACAAATGTTTCAATAATGTATTTTGCTATTTGACACACACATACACACAAATATTTAGGAAGAATCCATATCATCTTCTGGTTATAGATCACACAAAAAAAATCTGATAAGGTCACAGTCTTTTGTTTGAACTTATATAGAAATAACTTGATAATAGTTAAGACAAATTTTAATCATTTTGGTGTGTAATTGGGTCAGATTTTATTTTCAGTATTGTTTTTATAATTTCTCTTTAGGAAGATTAGCTATTTATGAGAAAAATTAAGTAATTTAAAATTAATACTTGATACTTAAAAGCCTAGTTAGAATATACATAGCATTTATATGTATTTATAAAAATAAATATCTAAGCAATAATAGATATTTTGTTTCTTAAATGAGGTAGATAAATTAAAATATTCTGGAACATGATCTGAACATTAAAAAAAAAGAAAAGAAAATAGCAATCACCAATTCAACCTGTATAAATCAGATAGCTGGAGAGTTTTTATTTTTAACATATATACCAGATTTTTGCAAGTACAAGGCCTCTGAAATACATTTCTACTTTTCAAAAGCTTGCTAAATTAAAATTCAAGTTTTTCATGTACTTAATCATTATTTTATTTCTACTTAGGGAGTTTTGCTATTCAGACCAAAGACATTTGCAATTAAACCAAAGATTACTCATTTTTTAAATTTCCCTTTACATACCTCATATAGAAAAATACATCAGGAAAAGATATTACTCTTCAACTGTTATATAATAAATAATTACTTAGATGATAAAGAGTTAATAAAAATTTCAAGGTCTGCTAAAGAATTATGAAGCCCATCATTCATATCTTGACTTCTAAGAAAATTTTTAAGAGTATCTAAAGCAGTTATTGCCTCATTTTTTGATGGTAAAGGAAGTTCAGTTCCCAGAGATCCACCATCCTCCTCTTCATCAGAAGTATAAAATCCAGTTTCATCTGATTTACTTTCTTTGGTCCACACCGCATCACCATTCGGTTCTGCTTCACATGTCTCCAGATCATCGTCCAGGGCAGCATACTCTTCTATAGACAAGCCTTCGGGAAATTCCACTCCTGCAGCTTGGGCATGGGCAACCAAATCAAGACCCGTTTCGGTCTCTGTATTTGTCTTGTCAACTTCTCCCTGTTGAGATTTGAATCCTGCTTCTTCATAGCTCTTAACAATCGTCTCTGTGGTTACAGCCCTCCAACAGAGATGCAATGTATCAACTGCATCTAGTAAAGAAAAAGTAAACTCTTTGCTGCCTTCAACAGAACTTAAAAATTTCTTGATAAGACAATGTCGGTACTTGATTTTAAGGCTTTTAATAACACCTTGTTTCATAGCTATAAATTTGGGAGACAAACATGATGGAAAAAATGCTAACTCAATGGACTTGAGGTTCTTTACTTCTGGATGTGCAGGAAAAGAATCAACAAAAATCACAACTCTTCGCTGCTGGGCTTGAAATTTCTCATCAAGCTTCCGCATCCACCATTCAAATACATCTGAGGTCATCCATGCCATTCTGTTAGCTTCATAATACACAGGCAATGATTTTATACCTTTGAAACAGTGTGGACTTCTGTTTTTCCCAATGATAAGCAAAGGAAGTTTCTCTGAGCCATCCATGTTTGTCCCAACCACCAGAGTTATTCTATCTTTGCATAACTTTCCAATTGAGCATGTTTCTCCTTTAAATGCAAATGTATTTGTAGGTAACATTCGATAAAGCAGCCCAGTCTCTTTTACATTAAAAACATTTTTAGGATGATAATCGTTTAAATAATAAGGAAGTACATTTTGGTGCCAAACAGTTGAAGGGTCCACTGATACACCTGTAGTTTCTACAGGTTGAGCTCTGAATACTAAACCATACCTGGATTTAAAGCGATCCAGCCAACCATTGCTGCACTTAAAATCATTATGTCCCAGTTTCTGGGCAAAATCATTAGCTTTTAGACGTAACATTGGACCATTAACTGGTACATTTAGACACTGAGCAATTCGATACCATCTCATTAATGCCTCTTCCAGATCTGTATAAAAAGCAGTCCTCAGTCTTTTTCTCTTTGGATCAAATCTCAGAGATTCAAAGGCTTCTAGGACTTTGTCTTTATTCTTCATAATAGAAGACAATGAATTTTTCTTTATTCCATATTCAGCTGCAATCTCTGCTTTTTTCTTGCCACTTTCTACTGCATTTATGATGTCGATCTTTTCTTCAATGGATAGACTTTTCTTCTTTTTCACTGTGGCAGGGAGAGTTGAGGCATCTACAGAAGCTTCTGCCATCTCTACCAGTACTTATATAGAGATAGCTCCTCTTTCTGGTTTCTGTTTCTTTAATTAAATGTCTTTTCCAATATGACACAAATTGCTGCTTTCTCTCCCACTTCATATATTTAAGGTTGGTACATGTATAATGGTCATTTCTCAGGATGGTCTTGTTTTTCAGGATATTTTTCAAAGGATCTAAATAAGAAAAATGTTATATGCAGCTAGAAAGTTTAGAAGAGAAACTTCCTTCCCAGGACCTTGTGTAGCTCAGTTTATAGTTTTTTTCAGAGTTTCAGAAGTCAAGCTAAAATAGAAATCTCATTATGTCAAACCTGTCCAGTCCTGTTGATATATTTTTGGAACTTCAATCCTTTAAGACGATCCATTTTATCCATTTGTCCATTCAACCTCCTATTAATTCTCCACAGAAGGCCTCAGAGATAAGAACAAATGGCATTTAGAAATTTTCATGCAAAATGTTACCCATTAATTTCCAAGTCTCTTCAGGGTAGAGAAGAAAACAGTAGAACCCTTCTACGGCAGGACAGTTTATCTTCTGTCTCTTGAAAATGTAAAAACAAACAAAACAGCATTTTTAGCAATGATATGACAATTGAATATCAAAAAGAATACATAATGAATCAGTTATGTTTGTAATAATAATAATTAAAAAATGGGAACATGTTTCTGAAAATACAATAACCAAAGCAGGAGAAACGCTTACCTTCTGAAGGGCCTCTGTAAAATGCTCTCTAGCTCTGCTCTGTGCATTTGAGTTTGTACTTGCCTTTGAATGCTTTGTGATATATACTTCTGAAATAAACCAGACAAATTTAATCTGTTTTGAAAATGTGCACTTACCAAAATTAAAGAACTAAAAATGATGCTGGATATATCTTTGGAGGCTATTTTTTACATGAAGTCACAGACTGCCCCCTCTGACTTCTCTAAAAGAAAAACATAGTCAGACAGTAGTCACAAGGTCCAACTTTTAATAGCACATCGGAGACAGTGTCTCCTTTATAGGAATCTGGTAGAAAATGCTTCACTAAAAATCAAGTCAAGTGATTTCATCACATAGTTGAAAAATCTAAATCTTATTCTATCTAAATGTGTAAAAAACCTACTAACTTTTGTGTCAGTTTGACAATTAGCCGGATGCACAGAGGTCAGAAATACTTGACAAAATGCATTGGAATTAACAAATCATTAAGAGGATATAATGCATAAAAAGACCTAGACTAAGAAGGAGAGTCAACAGGTCTTAGCCTCTCCACTTCCTTATCTGTAAAATAAAGGGCTTATAGTGTAAAGATATGGGGTTTGGTGCCAGACACACCTGAACTGACAAGTGACTCTGCCACTTAGTACTTATATGATCCTGGGTAGTTTACTTAAACATTTGACCTCAGCTTTCTTATTTGTAAAATAGGGGTTAACTATAGTACCCGCCTCATAGGATTATTGCACATTCAATGGGATTCATGAGAGAGTGTAAGGCACTTAGCAGAATATTTAGCACCTTACAAGGCATTCAATAAATACTTGGCGATGATCTCATCATTCTTATCTCTAATGTCCCTTTTGTTATGTCAGTCTATAAAATTCAGAGATTTTACAATACAGGGGTTGGCAAAAGTAGGTTTACAGTTTATTCTTCTATTATTTACTTATTTATTGTATTATTTATTTGTATTATTTGTCTTTTTCTATATGAACAACTGTAAACCTACTTTTGCCCAACCCTGTGTATAGATAGCAAAGTTTCTCAAACCAAACAGTCCTGAATCTGCTGCAGGCTAAGATAACAAGCTCATCTGATGTGCGGGTGTTACTGCTGTGTGAATAATGTGGGTGCTCAATCCCTCTAGTTTTTCTGTCTTCCCAGGTTTCAAGATGACACATGCATTTTATTTGCACAAAATGTTTTGGAAAGACTTTTTGTCAAAATTCCCTGCCTTTGCTGTCCAAATCAAAGAAGTAATTTTTATCATGGGAATTACAGCTAGTTAAGGAGTTTACTGTTGCTATTATTGCAAGAAAGATCTTAATAATAATTATGATAGCCTAGGTTTTAGTTTTAAAACTGCCTTACTTCCTATATTCCAAACATTTCAAGAGGAAGGTCAAACTGGATTTCAAAGCTCATAGTTATAATGTGGTTCTGGCCCTGGCCGGTTTGGCTCAGCGGTTAGAGCGTCCACCTGCGGTCTGGAGAGACCCGGGTTCGGTTCCCGCTAAGGGCATGTACCTCGGTTGCAGTTTGTCCCCGGCCCTGGTTGGTCGTGCGGGTGGCGGCCACTCGATGTGTTCCTTTCACATCGATGTTTCTCTCTCTCTCTCTTCCTCTCTCTCCCTCCCACTCTGCCTGTACAAAGGATGGAAAAATGTCCTCGGGTGAGGATTAAAAAAAAAAAAAAAAAAAAAAAAAAAAAAAATTTATAATGTGGTTCTGTGTGGTTCAGAATCCAAGCTTTCTAATGTGAAGTCTACCATTCTTTTCTAAGTAAATAAAATGTGATCATTCAACCGAAAAAAAATTGCTCATATATGGGCTCTCCTGTAAATTTTTGTGCAATTTCCTATAAATCTACAATTATTTCAAAATAAAAATTTTAAAGTATCTTGCTCTTATTAGGAAGAGACCAACCATCAGAAATTGAGGTAGCAAGAACCAACTTTTAAAAAAATGTAAAACCAAGCAAAACTATTCAATTTCCCAACTTTTCTCTCACTTCTTCCTTTCTTCTTCTTTTCTTTTGTCCTTCCTTTTTCCTTCTACTTTATTTCATTTGTCAGAAAGAAACTATCATCTCAAATCACAATGATTATAGGTAAAGTAATTTGAAATTGAAAAGTGATATGTTTATTTAGGAAGATATTGGTTATTTTTTCTGATAGGTAATAGTATATATTTCCTTCTAAAACAGTAGTCAATGCTACAATTTTCCCTGGTAAGATATAATGTATCTTTATTCCTGAAATAACCACATTTCTAATGCTAAATCAGACAAGCTACACTTTTTCCCAAGAAAAGAAAAGGCACCTAATGCCTAATCAATGAAGCTGCCATTTTCCATTCTCCCACAATATTATGTATGGGAGTATGGCAGCAGCTAATATTTCTCAGAAGTACTCATTCTCTCGATTAAGCTCATGAATCATTCTACCTCCTGAAAATATTACAGCAGAGAAATGCTGAACTACATGTTAGGGACTATTTTCTCTACGTGAACAATAAAGCTAATTAAAGAATAAAAATAAAGCATTCACTTAAAAAAGACTTACCAAATGAACCCCAAATAAAACAATGGTCAATTCTACTGGTAATAAACTGGTACAAACCTTATAGAGGGCAAATTAGCAATATGATACAAAAACCTTCAAAACATGTATATCTTTTATTTAGCAAGTCCATACCTAGGTCTTATCCTCCCAAAATAATTATAGATGTAAAAATGATCTAACTTACAAATGAATTTGTTTTCTATTGCTGCATAACAAAATTACCACATATTTAGTGGTGGCTTAAAACAACAGCCATTTATTATCTCACAGTTCTGTAGGCTGAAGTTCAGGTGGGCTCAACAGGGTCCTCTGCTTAGGGTCGCACAAGGCAGAAATCAAGACGCTAGTTACATGGGACTCTTAATCTGGAGGCTCTGGGGAAGAATTGGCTTCCAAGACCATTCAGGTTAATTGCAGAATTCAACTCCTTGTGGGTGTAGGACTGAAGTCCCTGGTTTTCTGTTGGTTGTCAGCGGAGACTGCTCTCAGCTCCTGGAGACCGCTGTCAGGCGCTTGCCTGGGGCCCTCTTCCTTTCAGCAACAGAGAACCTTCTTCATGTCAAATCTCTCTTATGCTTCCAATCTCTCTGACTTCCTTTGCTGACACCAACAGGAGAAAGTGCTCTGCTCTTAGAAGGCCTATGCAATCAGTTCAGGTCCACCCATATTATCTCCTTTTTGATTAACTCAAAGTCAACTGATTAGTAACCTTAATTACTTCTGCAAAATCTTTTTTGCATATAACATAATCATGGGAATGATATCCTATCATGTTCACAGAGGAGGGAATTATACAAGGTGAGGATCATTGGAAATCATCTTAGAATTCTACCATACTATACTATGCCTCATATTCTTTTATAATTATAGACAAGAGTGGAAATAACCTAAATGTGCAACCACAAGGATTAGACAAATAAACTAAGGAACATCTATAAACTAAAATATTACTGAGCCACTAAAGGAGAATATTTAATGATATAATGAAGATTCTGTAAGATATTAAGTGAAATGAGCAAAATACAAAACTGTATGCCAACAAATACAACATATACTGAAAGTTGCATGAGGCCAGAGGCTCAAAGCTATTCCCACAGTGCTTAGTGCTCAGCAAACAGAAGGTTCTCAATAATGACTTATTAAATAAATGAATAAAAATATATATGCCTAGGAAAAAAAAGACATTAATCAAAATGTTGAATGTTAACTTTAGATAATAATGGAATTATGAATAAGTTCAGGTTTTTTGTCTACTCTTATGTTCAACTCATTCTACTATTCATGGGCTTCTTTAAGTGTTCCATTACTCAGTATCCTCTAATAAATAATTTGTTTCCAGAGAATTATACTGTGCAATCAGTAACTAAATCTCTCTCCCTGGAAAGGGAACTGCTAATAAAGAGTAATGAAATTATTACAGCATTACCAGAATCCCCCCCCAAAAATATCTGAAGGTAGCACCTTCCTCTTTCTGTTGAAGAAATAATATTGATAAGCAGTATACAGTATTCAACATCTAAAGCAAAGAGAAAAGGTCACATTCACATTCACTTTATTCAGAAAGGAATAAAAATATCCTTTAGGATCTATTGCCTCCTTTCCTTCTGGTCAATAAATGAAAGGTAGGCTGCCAGAGTTCCTCACAAGCTAAATGAATACATGGCATCTGATTTTTTTAAAAAGCTGAATAATAGCCAATAACAGTGTGAAGCTAAACGAGTAGAAAATCCCCCTCATAAACATATATGGCAGGCAGCTATTCCTTTTTCTTACCTCTCCACATATAATCACCAACTGAGAGAAAAGTAGTTATTATTTATTCTTCCTTAAAATGGGCAAGTAGCCCTGGCCAGTTTGGCTCAGCGGTTAGAGCGTCGGCCTGCGGTCCGGAGAGACCCGGGTTCGGTTCCCGCTAAGGGCGCGTACTTCGGTTGCAGTTTGTCCCCGGCCCTGGTCGGTCGTGCGGGTGGCAGCCACTCGATGTGTCCCTTCACATCAATGTTTCTCTCTCTCTCTCTCCCTTCCTCTCTCTCCCTCCCACTCTATCTGTACAAAAAATGGAAAAATATCTGTACAAAAAATGGAAAAATATCCTCGGGTGAGGATAAACAAACAAACAAAAAAAAGAAAATGGGCAAGTAGAATTCCCCAAGCTCTAGGGTGGGAGGAGGAGGAGAAAGAGCGGAGAAGGGTGGGGGAGAGAGAGAGGAAGGGAAAAAAGGAAGGAAGGAAGGAAGGAAGGAAGGAAGGAAGGAAGGAAGGAAGGAAGGAAGGGAGGAAGGAAGGGAGGGAGGGAGGAAGGGAGAGAAAGAGAAAGAAAGAGAAAGAAAAGGGAGGAAGGGAGGAAGGTAAGGAAGAAATGAAGGAAGGAAGGAAGGAAAAAAGGGAGAAAGGAGGGAAAGAAGAAGGAGGGAGGAAAAAATGTCTTAATCTAAGCAGGGTTAGGTTTAAAATAAGGTCTTTCGGTTGGTATGAAAAAATTTCCCCAGATCCAAAGAATACCTGTTACTGTTTCCTTTTCCCAAAGAAAGTGCATAGCATTTCTCTGTTTTCCATCACCAACTGAAGTAAGTTCCAGTGTTTTCTTCAAGCCAACCTGCATTCTAATTTCCCGTGGGGGAGCAGAAATAATTGGGAAGATTAACCCTGTATATTGCCTTGCACACTATGTATGAGGACTAGTCACGCACGGTACCAGAACCATACTAGACTAAAAAGTACCTAACATGATTAATAGCACCTTCACCAAGCAGAAGTTAGCATTAGTTCCAACTGGTTCCAAGTCCATCAGAATCTCTATCAAAACCATCAGCAGCTTCCAAGGACACCATCCTGCTAAGGACAAATAACTAAAGCAGATGTCTACCTTTCTAATATAAGAACAACCTGAGTGTAACAAACTAATAGTTAAACTAACTGTAATGAAGCTATGTGTCCCCAAACTCAAGACAGCTAGCAGGATCTTTAAGGTACCAGCCAGCTCAAACTGTTAAGTATACATCATCCAAGCACCACCAGCACTGCCAGGCACCTCCTCCCAGTCACCTTTTGGAAATTTAAGCACACTTGTATTTAGCTAGTAAATTCCATTCGGTTCCTAAACAATAAGAGCAGTAATTATTCTAACTGGGACCCTTTTCTTATAATTGAGAAGACTAACAGGATGGCTTTGAACAGAAAAGTCCACAGGAAGGTACAGAACTTAAGTTATAGTTGGAGTGAATTGGCATATATATTTGCTTTTTTCTTGCAAAAACAGAACCATTTGAGATGTGTCCTTTATATACAAATTTATGTTTTGGGATTTCAGTGCTGCTTCTGTTAGAAGAGACCTCAGAAAATTGTTATATTAATACTGTTATTTTACTTTTGAAACATTTGTGGTGTCATGGGTATTTACTCTTCACTGATCTGGGGACGATATCTGTACAGGGATTTACTATACTGTTCACTGAAACTTCCTGGAAATTTGTAGAGGCAGAGTCTGCCTTTGGGCACTTAGTTATTAAATATATCTTGTTAACTAACGTGACAAGGAAAGGCAGGTAAGTATGGTTTAAAGGAGGATAAACCCTATGGAAGTTGTAGAAACACCCTTCGCAGTGAAACGGCTGTCAAAGGAAAAGCAGTGTGTGGATGAATCAACTGTGTGTACAGTGTGCAAATGAGCTTCAGGTGCGTCTAGCACCACCGCGGAGCCACACACTCCCTCCATTCAGTGTTGGGGCTAGGGAGAGTATCAGGAGTACAGTCTGGGGCCTCAACTCAGGAAACTACAAAGGGCTCTGAGAAAAGGGATTGTTCAGCGGTATCTGTAGACAGGACAGTGATCCACTTAAGAAGTATGGGGCGAGCAAAGAGGAGAAATCGGTTGTATGGATAAAGAAAGAGGGGCAGGAAAGAAAAGAATCGGGATCCACTGTCAGCGAGCGGGCAGAGCTGAAAGTGATCACAAAGACACAGCAAATGATGAGAACCCAGGGATGCCGGGCGTGGGTGGTCTGGTGTTCCTGAAAGGGGTGGGCGTGAGTGACGTAGCGGGGGGGGGGGCTCTCCAGGCACCGCGGAAGCGGGGGTGAGGCGCCCGCACCCCATCTGCTCCCTAACCCCGCTTATCCTCCACCCTCCCACCCGCCGGGGCTGGAGCACCCTCCGTGCTCTCCCGCAGCTGGGAAAGAAGCTTTGGCTCTCCGGTGATTTGCGTGGCGGTGAGCTACGTCCACCTCCACCCTCCCGCCTCCGGCTCACCGTCAGTTAGGGGGACGCCTAACGCGTGAGGCTGGGGCGTGAGAATGAGAAAGAAGGGATGCTGAGGGCTCCTGGAGACCTCCGATCAGTCAAGATCAGGCCAGCGCGCCTTCCGCGAGCTCCCAGCTCTAGCAAGTGCCTCAGAACCCGCGTACACACCCCTCTGTGATCCCAAGGAAGCCAAAAAATTACCCGGGCAACGGCACCTGCGGAGCCCCGGATGTGGTTGCTAAGGCCGCAGCGAGAGGGGCGGGGCCAGCTTCCCAGAGAGGGGTGGCGGGGGCCTCGTGGGAGGTGCGCTGGCACCATAGAGACGTGGCTGGGCCCGGCGAGATTAAGGGAGAGAGAGGCGGTCCGGAGCCAAGGACAGCACTGCTTCCGGTTTTCTCACTTCCGGCTCCGCTGCTCTCGCTGTCGGTCCCGTCCGCCGGGTTGGGAGGCCCCGGGTGTGTGTCCTCGGCGGTTGGTCAGTGAGAGGCTGTGACAGCTGCATTAGCTCCCCGCCCCCGAGGCGCCGAGGTGCGTGGGGGAGGGGAAGGAGGAAAAGGCCCAAGTCGCGTTTCGCTCACTTCTTCCCGGGATTGAGACGTTTCCAGGGAGCAGCGGCAGGGCTCGTCCTCGACGTGAGAGCTGCCGGGTTCCCAGCCGACAGGTGAGGGCGGAGCTGGCCCGCCTGGAAATAGGTGGGGGAAGGCCAGCCCGAGTGGTTGGCTGTAGCGGACACGTTGCCTCTGGGGTTCGAACTTACACAGCTCACTTCTGCCCTTAACCCTTGCGCTATCTGCCCAAGTATTCGGCCTTTGGTTTCTGGCCCCTCGTTCCTACCGTCCCTCTGAGTGTGTGCCCCAAAATAGCCGGGCGTAGAGGCAGGGCTGGCCCTTCCAGGCTGGCACTGTGTTGGCATTGCATGCATTGGGTGGGAAAGGGGGTTGCAGGATCCATGCCTTTCTCGGTTAAGTCTCAGAGTGGGCCATCTTCAGGTTTGGTGTCCAGGCTTGCCTTCTCTCCTCGCCCTGCGTCCCCCACTTCCTCTCCCCCGCAGTGAAAGGAAGGGAGGTAGTGATAGTCCCTCTGAGAGGTACTTAAGGCAGCGGTGCAGGGGGAGGAGCCTTGGCTGTGTGAGAACGTCCGAGGATCGCTTGAGTTTGGGAAGGAAGTTGTGCTGTCGTCTTCTCGTCCGTTCCTCTTGGCCAAGTTACTACTGTTTACGTGTCTAGGAAAAGGAAAGAGTTGTTGTTGTTTTTAAAGAAGTTTGTAAATGCTTTTATTTTATTATTATTTCCTTTGCTTTGTTCTAATCTCTCCGTTGAGCCCTTTGATCTCAAAAAGTGTATAGTTTACACTTCTTGCAAATCCTTTAGCCACCCCTTTTAGGATTTCTGTTTTTTTTCTCCTAAAGTAGAAGATTTGCAAGACTTTTCATAAACGCGTGCTTTCACCGGCAAGGGTGTGTTCACGTTTACCATTTAATTTATGTCATTGGTGTGAAAATGTGCACCAGAATTGGTTACTTAAAATCAGTCCTGTGTTAAGGCTGCAGGAATTGGCCATTTCATTGCTGCTATCTTAAAGTGATTACACCACACTATATGTGAGTACTGTTTTAATTACACTTATTTTTTTTTAAATCCTCACCCGAGGACATTTTTTCATTTTTTTGTTCAGATAGAGTGGGAGGGAGAGAGAAGAAGAGAGAGAGAAAAACATCGACGTGAAAGGGACACATCGAGTGGCTACCACCCGCATGACCCAACCAGGGCCAGGGACAAACCAACTGAGGTACGTGACCCTAGCTAGAACTGAACCCGGGTCTCTCTGGACCACAGGCTGAGGCTCTAACCTCTGAGCCAAACTGGCCAGGGCTACATTTCTTTTTTTTTTTTTTTTTCCCATTTGTCCTGTTTGTTTTCCGTGCTGGACATAACCAACACCCTCTCCCAGTTACCACGTCTGACACTTATTATCTGAGAAAGTTGAAAGTATTTCTAATTTTATTTTGTTTTCTGGATTAAAAGTCTCTGCTTCACTTTCATTCTGTGTCAAATTATCTTAATCCTGGGTTATGTTTTAGGATCCATCTTTTATGAGGTCTGTGACTCAACTCCAACTCTAAAATTATGTGCAAAGTTTTGTTTGAGTGCATTTTGCATGGGAGAGGAAATCTATTCTTTTTATCAAATTCTCGAGATATAGAACCACCAGATTGTGTATATGTATATATAAAGTGTGTGTGTGTATAAAGTGTATATATGAAGTATATAACCTTCAGATATATAATCACATCTTAGTGTCTTGAAGTTAATCAACACTTTGTTTTTTTATGAACACTTTCTTTGTAAGGCTTTTATTTTTCAAATTGTAAATAGCTTGTTCAGGGAGAGTAGAATGCAGAGATTCTAGCTTTATACTGAAATCTCTCTACTTCAGAATGTCAGTGTTTCTAAATTCCTTCCTACACCTAGAGAAGGAAGTAAGACGGCTTACTTTAGTTCCTGATTTGTGGTTTTGAGGTTTCTTTTTAGGGGTAGCTTTTTGTGGCCAATGTTGTGGAGATCTGTGGACTTATAAATTAATGTGTTTATTAGTTTTTAAATATATATTAAACATCACCAACCTACTAGGTACAGTTCAGAGTTAAACATTTAAATTCTGATTGTACTTTGCTTTCATTTTCTTGTTTTTCGCTTGAGGCATTTACTTTGGGTTTTAGCTTTGTTAGGAAGAGAAAATAAGATGTTTCGGTAGCATGGTCTATAACTTTCAGTATGTTGCTGCTTATCTTAACATCCCCTTTCCCACCATTCTATATTAAGTATATTATGATGTTCTCTCTTGTGAAGAAGTTAGTAATCTTTCTAACTTAATGTAAGTTTAGAGTGCATATTTGAACTTACTGATTTGGTTGTGAAGTGTTTGTAGATCAAGGATTGAATTTCTAAATGCAGTGATACCTCGGTTCTCGAACATAATTTGTTCCAGGAGGACGGTCGAGAACCAAATTGTTCGAGAACCGAAGCAATGAAACCCAATAGGAAATAATGGAAACTGGATTAATTCGTTCCAAGCCCCAGAAAATGCCTATTTACTGGCCTAATTTGTATATAATATGTAGAAAAACATAAGTCTCAACAAGAAATAAAAGTGTACAGTATGTCTAAGGGTTAAATTCAGTGTAAAGCGTGACTCTCTCCACAAAGCGTGACTCTCTCCACAAAGCGTGACTCTCTCTCTGCACTCACACTGATGACGCAAGCAAGGCGCGCTGGGCCGAATGAACGCCATTCGGCTCCACTCGGCTCATCTCGGAAGTTCGAGTTCCAAATATTTGTTCGGATTCCAAGACAAAAGTTTCTCGAATCTCCTGGTCGAATACCGATTTGGTCGAAATCCGAGGCGTTCGAGAACCGAGGTATCACTGTGTTTGACACTTGTTTCATAGAATGTTAGAACTTGTAGAGACCTATACAGCTCATTAAGTCCATGTAGACTCTATATTATAGAGTAACCAGTGTCTTCTGCTCACAAAATTAGTCTTCCCTCTTTCTAACATCCTCACCTGGGGAGGAGCAGAAAACATAACTTTATAAGGAGTAAATTATGCTAAATTAGTTTTTTTCTAATGTAATGACGAAGTCAGAAGATAGATTATATCTAACATCGTAACAATTAACATTCATTTATTTACTGTGTGCCAGGCATTATGCTAAATGCTTCACATGATCATCTCATCTAATCCTCACAGCAACCTTATAAGGAAGCTAAAATTCCCATTTTTACAGATGAAGAAACTAAATGATTACTAATGAAACTAAATGATTAACTGAAGCTAAAGTAATCTGCTCAGAATTACACAGGTGGAACCAAATTGAACCAAGGTTGTCTAACTCTAGTTTGTGAACTCTTGGCTACTATGGAGTGCTTCTATCATATTTTCTTCATGCCTTTTTTGGCCTGAATTGGACATATTTTACCTGATTTTCTATCAGACATTAAGAAAAGATCTTATTCTTTATTAATCTACAGTGAATGAACATCTTGTTAAATGTCATACCAAAAAGTAGGACAAAAAGAAAGAAATTTGGAGTGTTATTTGGTAACTTCCCAAGGGGATGGATATAAATCTGTGTGTGTGGGTGTGTATTATGACGTAAAAGGAGTAGGAAAAAAAAAAGTGAAAATAAAGATTTTAATAAATAAACTCAACATTGCGAGAGTCTGGGGGTATAAATATATTCCAGAATGATAAATTTGGGCTAGAGTAAGGAATAAATTCAGAATGGAAGAAGGAGTAAATTCAACAGAGAATTTTAAGATAATCTAGGTATAGATGACAAACTAGCAATATATGTACAGACTGGAAAGAATAGTTCCACATAATATTGAAGATGATGACTTAGGGACCATGACAGTTTAAAAGTCATATATGAACCAGCACTAGTTCTAGGGTGTATGAAAAATACTATGAAACAGAAGACTGCAAATAATCTTATCTTTGGTCTCAACTAGCTTTAGACAGTCATGAAAGCCACTGAATAGTCTCTCAGTTCTTCACCTATTCTCTGCAAGACGGAAGTATATATTTTCTTTCCTTCATTCCTTTTCTCTTTCTTCCCTCTATCTTATGTTATTCCTCTCTCCTCCGTTACTTCTAGACCTTTTTCTTAGCATAATTACAGGCAGGTGTTGCTGGAAATTGCTCAAATCTTTTGTGAAAATAAGGCAACATCTGCCACATTCTCACCACGAAATTTTTAATTGTGTTTCATTTTTGTATGTCTATGATAGTGTTTGGCTAGCACCCCTTTGATGTTCAGGCTGATCTTTTTTTATCTTTTGGAAAACTGACACACTCTCTTTGGAGCAGGATCATAGGAACAGCAGAGTTTATTGGTGAATCCTAAATCATCAAGGGGAGGGAGTAAATTGGCCAACTCATTTCTGCTAACATGAGATAGTATTTTAGAGCAAGTTTTCCAAACTTCTCTGCATTATGGCACACATGGAAAATGATTATATTTGTGTGTAAGACTGTAACCAGGCCCTCTCTGGCTCCCTGAAGGCTGAGGGGGTGGGGCGAGCGGGTCAGTATTTCAGCACATCTGTAATCCATTCTTAGCACACTGGTTGCAAGGAAAGCTTTGCCCTAGAGAAGAAGAATATGTTACTCTTTGTTTAATACCTTCTGTTCATTCCTACAATGATTTACAAAGTACGTTCACATATATTCTCATTTTTATTCCAGTTATGTCCAATAGGAAGAGCAGGAAACATTACCATGTTAGAAATGAAGAAATTGAGATTTTAGATCAAGTGCTTTATATGAGGTCACACACCTAATAAGGGGATAGATAGGTCAGCAATACAAATCCCAGGTGGAAAGAATCCTTGGGGGTTAAGTAGTGGCATGCGACCTCCAGGATGGCCAGGACCCTCTCTGTTTTGTTTCAGAATGCTAACCTTCATCTAGGGCAGCTCTAGGCACATAGAAGTTCATAATAGTTGTCATTTATTGAGTGCTACTCTGGCTAG